GAAAAGGCAGGAAGGCTAGAGTACTGTGCTGGCTGCATACATCTTTTTAACAGGAAAATACAGAACCAGAGCTCATGGTTCTGCTAGCTGCAAAGGAGGCTTGGAGAGCTGCCTCTCTCAAAGCAACAATGACAACAACAAACAGATATCAAGCCTTGTGCAGTGGTGCACATCTGAGACAGGAGGATCACACAAGTTCAAGCTCAACCTCGGCAATGTAATGAGACCCAGTCTCAAAAAAATAAAAAGCATTAAGGGCGCCAGGGATTTAGCTCAGTGGTGCCTGCCTTGCCAGCGCAGGGTCCTGAGTTCCATCCCTGGTACTGGAAAAAAAAAAAGGTTCAGGTTGCAACTCTGTGGTAGTGCGTCCCTACCATGTTCCCCTCAAAACAAGACCTGGTCTTATTTTCAGAGGATGTCTTAGTCATGTACAACAGTCTCCATTTATTCATGTACAAAATCTTTATTCATATGCAGAAATCTACATTTATTCAAATACAGCCGTGTCATCTTCTGGAACATCATCATAAATCTCCAAACCCTGAATTCCAGCCTGAATTTCTTTCTTTCTTTCTTTTTTGGACCGGGGATCGAACTCACACTGCACTTGCAAGGTAGGCGCGGTGCCAGTGAGCTAAATCCCTGGTCTGGCCTGAATTGGTTGTAACTCCGTTTTCTGTAAAACCATTGCCCCAATCTCTCATGTCCCACAGTAGAGCTCTCCTCAAACGAGCATTGTGAGTTTTTTTGGGTGGAATGAGCACTGTTTTGTGTCCTTTTGCCAGAACCAGGGATCCAACTCAGGACCTTGAGTTTGCCAGGCAGGTGCAAGAAACGAGCACTTTTTGTCCTTGTAGCCTGCTTGGAGTATGTTGGCAACACAGCTGTCAGTGATTTTACCCTATGGATTCTTCACCTGAGGCTCGACCTCTTGCAGGCTGGGCCTCACAGAGTTTCTATCAAATCCAGGGTTAACTGGAGACTCATGAGACAGGAGTGGCAACAAAAATGATGACAGTTGGGCCGGGGATTTAGCTCAGTGGTTTCGCCGCCTGCTGGGCAGGCGCAAGGACCCGAGTTTGATCCCCAATACCAAAAAACAAAACAAAACAAAACAAAATGATGACAGTTAAGAATGAGGGGCCACAAAAAAGTGATGAAAAATTGCAGGCACCAATATTCAGAAAACATCTCTTTATTTCACATGAGTGCATGTAGTACATTTGTTACACCACGAGACATACTGAATTATGAAGAGTCATAGTAGACACACCCACCCACTTGTCATCCAGTGCGCACGTTATTCATGTGTTGTGTCTGTATCCGACTGCTCATTCGGCAGGGTCTTGAGTTCATCTGTTTATACAGGTGTTTCTCTTGTGTCCAAAGGTGCCTGCTTGGTACAGATATTTAATTACAATTTATATTATCATTTATTTTAAGTATTAATGTCAATGATATTATTTATATTTAACTATATGTTAATAGTATTATTTTATAATTCAATACATTGTCGTGTGTTGCAACAGATGTACCAAATGCGTCCATCTGGCTGATGATTTTTTTTTCTTTTGAGACCGGGTCTCATATGTAGTTCAGGCTAGCCTTGAACTCAGAGTGATCCTCCTGCCTCAGCCTCCCAAGTGCTGGGAATACAAATGTGTGTCACCACGCCAGGCTTGGCTGATAATCTTACATGGGGCTCACTTTTGAGGTAGGGTTTATAGTATGAGCATCCTGAGGGCTTCTTTTCCAGTTAGGTCTTTTTTTCGGGGAAATGTGGTCGGATGAGCAAGTTCATGGGTTCAATCCCCAATACTACACACACATGCACAAAAATCAGGGGCTGTGGGTGTAGAGCACATGCTTAACATTCCCCAGCCCAGGGTTCTATCCTCAGCAGTGTCCTAGGTAAGCCCCAAATGAGGCATCATTTCAAAGTTGGGATCTTGAAGCTCAAGGTGAGGGTGTGGTGAGCTGTGGGTCTGCTGGTGTCAGGCCAAGGCCCTGGGGATGTCACTGTGTGTGTTTGTTTCTGGGTCTGCTATGGACCCGGGACTGATAATTGCCTGTGTGGAGAACACCTTGGAATAAGATGGAATTGTATAACCCTAAGTGTGTTATAATCCTAAAGTGTGTTGTGACTTTAAGAGTGCTGTAACCTAAGTATAACACAATCATAAGAGTGATGTGTAACCATAAGATATGAAAGTAATGAAAGTAGAACCTTAAGTGGTATGGAACTGATAAGGGTGTAGCCCGAACTGGACGGGGCATACCCCCGAAGTGGACAGGGCATACACCGAATTGGGCAGAGTATGCCCCAAGCTGGACAGTGTGATAAGTCTGAACCAATACCACGAACGCCCAGCTAGAATAGTATAAAAGGAGCTGAAGACCCCAAGCAAGTCGACGATCCGTCCACCGAGACATCTGTACACCTGATCCCGCTGGAAGGAGTATCACCGCTGACCAGACGAGACCAGAGGACGAGGCAAGCAGAGAGACGGATAGCCTAGCACCGACTCGTAGCCCTTCATCTACGGATCGGACCCTCTGACCCTACAGGAGGAAACGTCGCGGTCCCATAAGGACATGCGCAGTACAGGTACAGGGACGTGGTAAATGGCAGACTTAATATTGTGTGGTAATTGCATATTGTGTGGAAATTGTATTGAAGTGAGTTATAACAATACAAGATAAGTGTGTGAACTGCCATCCGAGTCTGAGTCCTCTTTACCCACGGTACCTGCTCTCGACAGCCTGACAGCCCTAGATTAGCCTGAGGGAAGAAATGATGACGCACACTGAGGAATATTGCAAATGTGTGTTCTGACTCATGATAGCTTATCTGCAAACTTATTTTGAGGAAGTAAATCCCAAAAGGAAAAAACTCCATTAGGCACAAGGAAGTGAACCAGAAACTTAAAATAACAGTGAAAGGTTGGAAACCAGCCTGCCGTCAGCGTGCGGAGAGAGCAACAGCCATCGCTCTGCAGGTCATAATCCAGGATAAACTCGCCGATCCAGACACTGAAGGCAGTGGAGAGTGTTAATGAGAAGTCGAGAAAGGTGGGCAGGCATGGTGGTGCACACCTGTAACTCCAGCACTTGGGAGGCTGAGGCAGGAGGGTCGAAAGTTTGAGCCCAGCCTGGACAATTTAATGACAGCAAGACCCTGTCTTGAGATAAAAAATAAAAAGGGCTGGGGATGTAGCTCAGTGCAAAGGCCCTGAGTTCAATTCCCAGTACTGCAAAAAAGAAAACTAAAATAGAGGAAAGCAGGATGCAGGAGCTGATGTATCGTGTGATCGTGACATAACATGTGCACAGGCAGCGGGAGTGGGTGAATGTTTTCATCTATCCCGGGTGGAATGTGCCACTGTCCCTCCGTCTGTGTTTGAGGGGAGGCCCCCAAGGGACTGCGCATCTAGGCCCTATGCGTCTGTGGCCCTGGGCTGAGTATGGGAACGACTCACCACAGCAGGGGCGGGGTGGTGGCTTCTCTGGCCTTGGCACTCGTGGTCCATGTGTGCCAGTGACTTCTTTGTTTGTTTGTTTTTGAGACAAAGTTTCGCTTTGTAGTCCAGGCTGCCCTTGGACTTACTGTGTACCCAGGCTGTCCCCGAGGCGATGGCGATCCTCCTGCCTCAGCCTCCCACAAGCTGGGATTACAGGCATGCACCATGATGCCTGGCATGTGCCAGTGACTTCTGGCCTTAGCACTCTTGACCCAGAGTCATACTGGCTGCGTGTGTCTGGTGCTAAAGCATTCAGGAGGCTCTAACCAGTGACTAACAGAGATGGAGAAAGTGTCCATGTCCTTGTTACTTGAGCAGGTCCCTGCTGTTGTACACACTCTGCTTCTTTCCGTCCCTTACCTGCCTCCCCACAGCTGTCACTTGGGGACACCTCCCAGATAAGCTGTTTGCACTGGAATCCTCTCCATCTGCTTCTGGGGGAACCGGATGACAACATCCAGGCCAGAGATGGCTAGACACCCGCCTCACGGATGCCACCTGGGGAGCAGGAGAAGGCGGCGGGGTTGGGCAGGGGTCATCCCTGCATGTGGGACAGCCCAGAGCCTCCCCTTGGCCCCTGGGGTCTCCTTTCTGGGGCCTAGGTGGCTGCCCTCCAAGTCACCAGGCTGCTCCCCGCAGCTATCTTGGGCAGGTGGCCATCCAGTGACCTTGCAGCATTATGAGCTCTCAGGCTTGGCCGGAAGGGCAAGGTCCTACCCATCCTGAGATAGTGGGAGCAAAGGGAGGCCATGGAGATTCCTATCAGGAGGGAGCAGAAGCATGGGCCATGCACCTGGGCCTGGGTGGGCAGCCACTACCTGGGGTCCCGAGGGATTTGGCAGTGGACAGGGAGCTGGGAGGAGGAGGAGGTGAGCAGAGGAAACGTATCTGAGGTCTCTCTCCTGTCAGGCCCTGGAATGGGCTGTTGGTTCTACTTCCTGCTCGGAGGGGACTTTTGTCACTGTTTAGCTCCACCCTAACTCTCCCCTTGTTATCTGGCTGTTAATATTAATTAGCAACTGTTCCTAAGGATGACAGTGCAGATGGTGTGTCTGAGCCCACAGCTGCCACATCCCTAGATCAGGAGGGCCAGGGTGGGGGTCTGTGGCTCACCCAGGGGGTGCAGACCCTCTGGGACCACACTAAGCCCCCAAGGCCAGAGCCCAGAGACCAGCCAGTTCCTGGTCCCACTTGTGCCTCTGCCCCAGTGCCAACTCCAGGAGGGGTGATCAGGGTCTGTCCCCCATGGGCTCAGCCTTCCTCAGACTTCAGCAGCACTGGACAGTGATGGGGACCCCAGCCCCATCACAGAGAAGCTTATCTGAGGGGCTGTGGATGGGGCCAGCAGGAGGCAGGGATGAGAGCGGGTGATCATTAACCAGCAGTGCTCAGCCCTATTGGCTCTGACAGGGTGGCCAGGGATGTCGTTGCGGGGAGGAGGCTTCCTTAATGTGTATCCCCACTGCCAGTCCTCGGCTGTCTCCTGCTGTCCCCGAGATCCCTCCTCTGCCCCAGGATGGCGGCCGGCCTGCAGGGCTGGCTGCTCTGGGCCCTGCTCCTGTGCTCCGTGAGTCTTCTGTTCAATGGGGACCCAGGCCACCTGGGACCCAACAAGGGTCACTGGATGGCAGTGTGGAGGGGGGGTCCCAGGCGCTCCAGAGGAGGGGACCAGGGAAGGGTCAAAGGTCATGGGGTTGAGGGACACAGGGTCAGGAATGGCAGCTGGGCTGGGTCCTGGCCTGTGGTTAGGGAAGAATTGAGTCAAGAGAGGGTGGGGAGTCCCAGGTGAGTGTCCCCTGGAGCATCCTGGGGCTGGGAGGCAAGTGATGGCATTTGGGGGAGGGGACTTCCTGACAGACCCTGAGCAAGAGCCCACCGTGTGGTGTGCAGCCAGGGGACACAGGCCAACAGCAATACGGGCACCTTGGTCACCTCCCTCCTAGTCACCCCTGCCCTCTGCAGTGTGACCTTCCTAAACCACCATCTGTGGGGCCCTGTCCTTCTCTGAGGGACCCGTCACTTTCAGGAAGAAAGCACCCCAATCCCAGCACAGGCCTCAGGAGGCCCCCAGGCCCTGTCTGGTCTCCTTCTTTCCCCAAGCCCTGTCCTGTCACCTGTGCCACCGGCCTGGCCCGTGGGTGACCTTGCCGTGTCTGCAGGCCCGGGGCGAGCTGTACACACCCATTCACAAGCCCGGCTACTGCACCTCCTACGAGGAGTGTGGGAGTAACCCAGAGCTGTCCGGGGGCCTCACGTCGCTGTCCAACGTGTCCTGCCTGTCCAACACCCCAGCCCGCCTCCTCACAGGCGACCACCTGGCCCTGCTGCAGCGCATCTGTCCTCGCCTCTATGCCGGCCCCAATACCACCTACGCTTGCTGCTCCACCAAGCAGCTGGTGTCACTGGAGATGAGCATGACCATTACCAAGGCTCTCCTCACCCGCTGCCCGGCCTGCTCTGACAACTTTGTCAGCCTGCACTGCCAGAACACCTGCAGCCCCAACCAGAGCCTCTTCATCAACGTCACCCGCGTGGTCCCCCGGGAAGCCAGCAAGCCCCCTGCCGTGGTGGCCTACGAGGCTTTCTACCAGCGCAGCTTCGCAGAGGCGGCCTATGAGTCCTGCAGCCAGGTGCGCATCCCTGCAGCCGCCTCGCTGGCTGTGGGCACCATGTGTGGTGTGTATGGCTCTGCCCTTTGCAATGCCGAGCGCTGGCTCAACTTCCAGGGAGACACGGGGAATGGCCTGGCCCCCCTGGAGATCACCTTCCACCTCTGTGAGCCCGGCCAGGCCCTGCGCGATGGCATGCAGCCTCTGGATGCGATGATCGTGGGCTGTAATGAGACCCAGGGCAACGGTACGGCGGCCTGCTCCTGCCAGGACTGTGCTGCCTCCTGCCCCACCATCCCTCCGCCCTCCAGCCTGCGTCCCTTCTTCTACATGGGCCACTTGCCTGGCTGGGTGGTCCTCATCGTCATCTTCTGCTCCGTCTTCGTGCTGCTCATTGCCATCCTTGCCCGTCTCCGAGCAATTTCCGAGAGGAGGGCCAGGACCCAGGGCCCCCCAGGGGCCCCCAGCCCTCCGAAGAAACGTAGCTGCTCCCCACACACCGTCCTTGGCCGGTTTTTCGAGAGCTGGGGAAGAACGGTGGCCTCGTGGCCACTGACTGTCCTGACATTGTCCCTCATGGTAGCTCTGGGCTTGGCGTCGGGCCTGACATTTGTGAAACTCACCACAGACCCCGTGGACCTGTGGTCGGCCCCCAAAAGCCAAGCCCGGCAGGAGAAGGAGTTCCACGACCAGCATTTTGGCCCCTTCTTCCGAACCAACCAGGCTTTCCTGACGGCAACAAACCGGTCCAGCTACAAGTACAACTCCCTGTTGCTGGGGCCCAAGAACTTCAGTGGGATCCTGAGCCTGGACCTGGTGCTGGAGGTGCTGGAATTGCAGGAGAGGCTGCGGCATCTGCAGGTGTGGTCGCCCAAGGCACAGCGCAACATCTCCCTGCCTGACGTCTGCTATGCGCCCCTCAACCCCCACAATGCCAGCCTCTCTGACTGCTGTGTCAACAGCCTCCTGCAGTACTTCCAGAACAACCGCACGCTCCTGCTGCTTGTCGCCAACCAGACGCTGCTGGGCCAGACCGCCGAGGTGGACTGGAGGGATCACTTTCTCTACTGCTCCAAGTGAGTTCTCCCTGGCCCAGGGAGGAGCGGGCCGGGCTGCAGCCAGCTCCTTACCAAGGCCTCAGTTTGATTTATTTATTTGACAACACTAGGGATTGAACCCAGGCCCCTTGTTCTGATCCCTCCCCACCCTTTTCTACCAGGGATCAAACCCAGAGCTACATCCTCAGCCATTTCTTTATTTATTTATGAGACAAGGTCTTGCTAAGTCACTAAGCTGTCCAGGCTGGGCTCCAACTTGTGATCTTCCTGCCTCAGCCTCCCAGACTGCTGGGTTACAGGTTTGTGCCACCACGCTCTGCTCCAGCTTATATTTGTGTTTACATTGTTTTTCTTCTCTTGCTCCTGTGCTGAGCCTGTAGGGCCACTGGTAACCCGGGAGTGTCTTGCTGTGAACAGAAAGCGGTGCCCTTGGGCCAGGCCAGGGCTGAGGCTGATCTCAGGTCCCAGACGCCTGCCAGGTGTCTCAGCAGGTCTCGGCCAAGCCCTGGTGCTGCTGGAGTTCGGTCCCTGGCTCTGTCCATTCCAGAGGCCAGAGAGGATGCTGGGCCAAGGGAGGGCAGTGGGAAGGCCAGGTGGTGAAGCTCTCAGAGGTGGGTGCGGAGCAGTGGTCCTCAGCATGGACTTCTCATCCTCTCTCCACGCCTCTGAGCCCCAAGTGTCTGTGACACAACCCAGGGGCTGTCCCTCAGAAATGGCAGCACGAGGTGGGGCTGTTCCCATCCTGGGGAGCATTCATGGTCAGGTGTGCCATCCTTGTGTGCGGTCTTAGTTTGATTTTGCATATGCACAACTCTTGAGGGGTCTGGTTATTCCCATTTCATAGACAGGGAAGCTGAGACCCAAAAGGGTATGGTGAGCTGCTCAGGTCACAGAGCAACCAGCACTCCCAGGAGGGGTGGGTGGGCAACACACTCACTTGCTCAGATCCGAGATCGAAAATAGAGAGCTTTGTCCAGGTAGCTGAGCAGGTGAGGGTTTTTTGCTTGATTCAGAGGCTAGAAGTCATAGTAAATCAGCAAGTGCAGCTCTGCTGGAGGCCCGGGACTTTGAGTGCCGATGGCCCTTAGGGTTATGGCTCTGGGCCTTGATGCCCCTGGTGGACAGTGCCAGTTGTTGGACACCTGGCTTCGGGTCTCTGGAGCTCTTCTGGACCAACAACCCCTAGCGTTTCCATCTTCTTTTTAAGCAACTGTTCTGTCCATATTACTCAGAAGTCCTGAGCAGACTTACAGGACCTTCCAAGCTCCCATTACCTAAGAAATACGTCAGGAGCAGATTTACAGGACCACTGGAAGGACGTTCTATTTGAACATGACTGTGCTGCACTTCAGAGGAATCAAAGCACAAGAGAGAACCCGCCAAAGCCAACCCAAGAAGAGAAAGGGGAGTGCCACTGATAGCAGCCGAAAGCCTGTCATTGGTTCAAATCCAAGCCCACTAATTGGTCCAAATTCAACACTGTGATTGGTCCACATTTGAGCCTGTCAACAATTGACCTAACTTGATCTATACCCAAGCTTTCCTATTGGAGCTTGCTGATTGGTTCAAATTCAGTTCGACTGCATGGTTCAAATTCAATCGAGGTCAGGGAGACCCTACCCAGAGCTTCTGTGGTGTCTCCACACAAATGGTGGGCCTGACACCCCACAGCCTCCAGGAGGATTAGCTGTGCTAATCACAGCTTACTGAGGGTCAGGGATGTTCACAATGGGCCCCTATCCCTGCCTGATTTCTGGCACCTCAGGGGTGGTGTCCCCTCCCCTTCACACAGGTGACAGTGTTAGTGGGCAGTAGAAGCCTGGGAGGTGAACCTCCTGTCAGGGCAGCCTGGAGAGCAGCCATGAAGCAACTCAGGAGGACATTGAGGCAGGCTGTCCTGAACCTTCCTTGGGGACAGAGGAGAGTAAAGGGAAGAAGGGAGGGCACTGGACGTGACAGCTGTTGAGCCCTGCAGCCCTCCTGAATCACAGGAAAAAGGGAATCTTCAGGTGCTTCCTGTCTGTCTCAGAGGGTTTGGGGCTCTGGGTAGGCAGAGGAAGCTGAGGAGCTGCAGAAACCAGGGCACAAGACTATGGCTCACATCCTGCCCCTGGGACCTTAGTGATGCCTCTCTGGGAAGCAAATAAAGGCAGGCCTGGGAGGTCTGACTGTGTGAGGGATGCAGGAAGCCACTGCCTGGCATGGAGGAGGTGCTCAGGGTGGCTCCCCACTCTGGGAACTGGGGCCCACAGAGGGTATAATTGGGAGGGGGCCATTGGGAGCCCCGGGGCCCGGCAATCTGCAGGCACGTCTCCTCCTCCAAGGTGGGCCTGGGGTGGGGCAGGCCCTAGGAAACGAGGCAGGGCCAGGAAAGCCTCTTCCCTTTGTGGTCTCCCTCCAGTGCCCCCCTCACCTTCAAAGATGGCACAGCCCTGGGCCTGAGCTGCATGGCTGACTACGGGGCCCCTGTCTTCCCTTTCCTCGCTATGGGTGGGTACCAAGGTAAGCTGGGTGCCCAAGGAAGGATGTAAGGCAGCAACAATAGGTGTGGGGGGGTGTTCCTGCTGCTGGGATGGCCTGGCGGTGGGCTTCGGATGCCCCATCCTGACTCCTTTCTGTCACTGCTGGGCTTCTCATCTGCTTTTGTGCCTGGGCCCAAAGGTCTTGCCTTTGGCTAAGAGAGGGGAGCGGGGTGAGGAAGCGGGGACAAGCAGGAGTGGAGAGGTGGCGGAGGTAGGGGGAGGCAGGGGTGCAGCCAGAGGGGCTGAGCACTTATCATCCCAGGGGAGGAGTACTCAGAGGCGGAGGCCCTCATCATGACCTTCTCCCTCAACAACTACCCCGCGGACGACCCCCGGCTGGCTCAAGCCAAGCTCTGGGAGGAGGCGTTCGTGCAGGAGCTGAAAGCCTTCCAGCAGAGGATGGCCGGCACGTTCCAGGTCGCCTTCATGGCTGAGGTAGGGGCTGCGGGGTCCCAGGCTCTCTGGTGGCCAACTTAGTGGTCCTGGGTGGGTTCCAGTGTCCCCGTTCTGGGTGACCCTGGGCCAACCAAGATGGGGTGCTTACGATGGGTGCTCCTGGACCCTCGCCAGGGTCCATAGCCTGCCACCTGGCCCCATGTGGTCACTAGACTGGCCTGTGTGTTCACAGCGCTCTCTGGAGGATGAGATCAACCGAACGACACTCACGGACCTGCCTGTCTTTGCCGTCAGCTACATTGTCATCTTCTTGTACATCTTCCTGGCCCTGGGCAGCTACTCTAGATGCGAACTAGTGCCGGTGAGAGAGGGTGCCCTGGTCCCTGGACCTCAGCACATCTTCTAAAACCTTCCTAACAGGGCCCCTCGACACGGCAAGGAGAGCACATTCGAAGAGACCCCCCCCCAAAAGGGTGCTCTTTCTTGGAAGTGTTCTTTGTTGAAAGGAGTTTTATTTCTGCTCCCTACCATAGCCCCTCGTGTCCATACACACAGGTGACATTAAAAATGTCCTGTGATTGTGCACACTGCACGTGGACCTGCAGCTTTAGGAGCATGGAGCTGCTGGTGGCTCTGTGGAGGGGCTTGGTGCAGACATGAGTTCCTTGCTACAGGAGAAGAGGGAGAAGGAGAGGGGGAGGGAGAGGGGGAGCACCCTTGGGTCCTCAGGGTGCCTGTCTGCTGCCCGCTGCCTGCTCCCTGGCCAGCCCAGGTGGGCGGGTGATCTGGGCAGGCGCCCTGGAGACCAGGAGGTAAGCCCCCTGACTACATTGCAGGTGGAGTGCAAGGCCACGCTTGGCCTGGGAGGGGTGGCCGTGGTGCTGGGATCAGTTGTGGCTGCCATGGGCTTCTACTCCTACCTGGGCGTCCCCTCCTCCCTGGTCATCTTCCAAGTGGTGCCCTTCCTGGTGCTGGCGGTGGGTGCCGACAACATCTTCATCTTTGTCCTCGAGTACCAGGTGAGGAGGAGGTGTTTCCCGGCCCCGCCTGTGCCCCCAGTGCTCCTGCTTCACAGAGCCCCACACCGATTTCCCAGCATCAGCCTGCTCTTCCTCGCACCAACCCTCAGGACTGTGCCTCTAGAAAATAGCATGTTGACACATTTATCCTGTGTTTGTGATTTTTTTTTCTTTTTTTTGGTATTTTTGAGGCAGTGTCTGTCTGTGTAGTTCAGGTTGCACTTGAACTCATAGCCATCCTCCTGCCCCGGCCTCCCGAGTGGTGGGATTGCAGGTGCACCACTATGCCCGGCCTGTGTGTTATCTGGGACTTTCTGTTAGACCCACACAACCTCTGCTGGGTTAGAACATTAGGGCCACCTCCTCCCTTTACGCTGTTGTGTGGCATGCCACAGAAAGCCAGAATCAGAGTCCACATGGCCTCTCCCTGCTGGCGAGCATTTAGGGCTCCAGGGATGCCTGGAGCTCACACAGGTGTCCAAGGCCACCTTGGAAGCAGAAGCAGCTGTGGACTGGGAGGCTCAGTCCAAGGGACAGTGCCCTTGGCGGATCCTGGACCCCTCTTCTGCTGCTCCCACACAGAGGCTGCCGCGGAGGCCTGGGGAGGGGCGAGAGGCCCACATCGGCAGAGCCCTGGGCAGCGTGGGCCCCAGCATGCTGTTGTGCAGCCTCTCAGAGACCATCTGCTTCTTCCTGGGTGAGCCAGGCGCCCCGGGACCCTACCCAAGTCTGCCCTGTAGGGCCGGTTGCCAGGGGCTGGGAGCCCCCTGCCCTCTGCACACTGCCTGTAATGTTGGGGTGCCCTGACTGCACTTCCCTCCACAGGGGCCCTGACGCCCATGCCAGCCGTGCGGACCTTCGCCCTGACCTCTGGCCTGGCGGTCTTCCTCAACTTCCTGCTGCAGATGACTGCCTTCGTGGCCCTGCTCTCCCTGGACAGCAAGAGGCAAGAGGTACCAAGGGCCCATCCCAGCAGGGGATGTGGCCCCATTGCCACAGAGGTGGCAGAGAGTGGGATGAGAGCAGGGCGTTCTGTGGGGTTTAGGGTATTCGGCCCACATATCCCCCACTTCCTATAGAAAGAAAGTTTGTTTTCAGTAATTTTGGGAAATATCCTAAAGTATACAAGACTGAAAAAAATCTATCTATCTATCTATCTATCTATCTATCTATCTATCTATCTATCTATCTGGGCACAGTGGCACACTTCTGTGATCCCAGCACCCTGGAGGCTGAGGCAGGAGGATTGACATGAGTTTGAGCCCAGCCTGGGTAACACAATGAGTTTCAAGGTCAACCTGGACTACGTAGTGGGAAGTTGTCTCAGCAAAACAAACCAAACAGAACAAAACAAGCAAAAGGAACAGCTTCTTGTCCCTAGGGTGTGATGATGGTGGCACTGCCTGGGGTTAGGCAGGCACAGGGTCTGGCCTGGGCCCCCCTGAGTAGCTGCCTCCCTACAGGCCCTCCGCCCCGACATCTTCTGCTGCCTTGCCCCCCGGAAGGTGGCCCCATCTGACCAAAAGGAGGGCCTCCTGCTCAGCTTCTTCCGCAAGAGATACATACCCTTCCTGCTGCATGGCTTCATCCGCCCTGTCGTGGTGAGTGGACACCCCCAAGGCGGGCGGGTAGGGCAGGGTGGAGGATGCTGCTTGTGGCACCCCAGCTGGGCTCAAGCTCTGGGGCAGATGGGGCTGTTGCAGGGGGGTCTCACTCGCAGTTCCTACCCCAGCTGCTGCTGTTCCTGGCCCTGTTTGCGGGGAGCCTCTACTGCATGAGTCACCTCGTCGTGGGGCTGGACCAGGAGCTGGCACTGCCCAAGGTGAGCCTGGTGTCTCCCGGTCCCTGGCCCTGAGACTGGGCAGCCCTGGAGAATTGCTCATCACCTTGGTGGCCCCTGAGCACATCAGTGTCTGAGAAGTTCGAGGGCTTTGTGCCAGCCTCGGGCCACAGCAGGAGAGGAGTCAGGAGGGCTGGTGGTTCGAGATGGCCACATGGGGTGACTGCCAACCCACTGAGTGCCTGCACTGTGTGTGAATCCCCACCAGTGGTGGTTTCTATTTCAATGTGGTGCTGGGGCTCGAACCCAGGGTCTGAAGTTGCTTGGTGTCTGCTCTACCAGCGTGATATATCCCAGCTTACTTTGAAGCTTTTGATAATAGTCGTCCTGTAATGGGTGTGAAGTGGGAACTATCTCACTGTGGTTTTGATGGGAATTTCCCTAATAGGCTGGGAGTGGTGGCTCACACTTGTAGTCTCAGCACTCGGGAGGCTGAGGCAGAAGGATCAACACTAGTTTGAAAAAAACAAAACACTAGTGTGAGACCAGCCTGAGCTACATAGTGAGTTCAAGGCCAGCCTGAACTACATAGCGAGACTCTGTCTCAAAAAAAAAAAAGAATTTCCCTAATAATTAACGATGTTGACACATATTAGTGATACAAAGTAATGAGATTCATTTGGTATATTTGTACATACATATAGCATATTTTGATTATTTTCATTCCCATTAACCCCTTCTCCCTAAACTCACTCCTCTCTCTCCAAAATTCTACCATCTAGTTTGCTGTCATTTCTTATATTTATTTATTTGATTTTTCATCTTAAGAGAGACTTTTTTTTTTTTTTTTTTTGAGACAGGGTCTCACTATGTGGCTCAGGCTGGCCTTGAACTCACTATGTAGTCCAGGCTGGCAGCCTCAAACTCATAGCAGTGATCTTCCTGCCTCAGCCTCTTGAGTGCTGGAACTACAAGCAGATGCCACCAGGACCAGCAACAGAAACCATTTCATATTTAGCTTTCTGAGTCTGGCTTATTTTGCATAAGATGACAGTTCTTCAGTTCTATCCATTTCTGCCAACGACATGATTTCTCTTTTCTTTATAGCCGATTAGCATTCTCTTGTGTGTACACACCACTTCCCCTTATTTGTTCATCTGCTGGTGGCATCCAGGGTGTTTTGACAGCTTAGCTATTGTGACTGTGGGCCTGTAAACATGGGTCTGCCTGTGTCACTATGAGATGCTAACTGTGATTCTCCTGGGAATATGCCCAAGAGTGGAATCTCTGGATCAAATGCTGTGTCTGTCCCCCCCACCCCTTCGGTACCGGGTGTCAGGCTCAGGACCTTGTGCTTGCCAGGGAGGTGCAGCCCCACTGAGGTACATCCCCATCCTCGTGTATCTGTTTTGACCTTTATTTAGAAATCTCCATGCTGATTTCCACAATGGCTGTACTAATTTTCATTCCCACCAGCAGAGTAGGAAGTTCCTTTCCCCCTTGATTTTCACCAGCATTTACTGTTCTTTTCTGTATTCTCAATGTTAGCCATTCTGCCTAGGGTGAGATGAAATCTCAGTGTAGCTTTGTTTGCATTTCCCTAAAGGCTAAAGATGTTGAAAATTTTTTCATGTATTTATTGGCTATTTCTCCTCCTCCTCCTCCTTTTTTTGAGGTAGGGTCTTACTATGTAGTTCAGACTGGCCTTGAGTTCACTGTGTATCACAGGATAGCGTCAAACTTGTAGAGATCCTCCTGCCTCAGCCTCCTGAGTGCTAGGATTACAGGCATGCACTACCGTGCCTGGGTTGTATTTCTTCTTCTTCTTTTTTTTTTTTTTGGTACCGGGGATCGAACTTGGGACCTTGTGCTTGCGAGGCAGGCAGTGGAACCACTGAGCTAAATCCCCGGCCCCCATCTGTTGATTCTTAATATTATTCCTATTGTATTCTGGTACTATTCAGGAAGTCTTTGCCTGTGCCTATGGCTTCAAATGTTTCCCTTGTTTTCTTCCAGCAGTTTCAAAATTTCTGGCTTTATGTCTAGGTCTTTGATTCATTTTGATTTTATTTTAGGATAGGGGAAGAGATAAGGACCTAGTTTCACTCTCCTACATGTTGATTTCCAATTTCCCAACACCATTTGTTAAAAAGACTCTTTTTTCTCCAGCATATATTTTTGGCCATTTGTCAAAATCAGATGGCTGTAGGTGCATGGGCTCATTTCTGTGTCTTTGATCTGTTTCATTGGTCTACATGTCTATTTTGGCCAGGTGTGGTGGCATATGCTTGTAATCCCAGCACTTGAGGGGCTGTGGCAGGAGGATTGCCATGAGTTTGAGGCCAGGCTGGTCTACATAGTGAGACCCTGTTTTAAAAAAGTCCTTTTGTGTCAGTACCAACCTGTTTTTATTACTGTGGCTTTGTTGTATAATTCGAAATTGGGTTTTATGATGCCTCCAGCCTTGCTCTTATTGCTCAGGACTACTTTGGGTTATCTGGGACTTCTGTGTTTCCATATGAATTTTAGGGTTATTTTTTCCAATTCTATTAAGAATGTTGTTGGTTTCTTTGTTTTTTTGGTACCAGGGATCGAACTCGGGACCTTGCACTTTCGAGGCAGGCGCCAGAACCACTGAGCTAGATCCCTGGCCTGTTGTTGATGTATTTTTGTTGTTGTTGTTGTTGATATTTTAATAGGGCTCACATTGACTCTGTGGATTGCTTTTGGTAATATGCCCATTTTTTTTTCTGGTACCTGGAATTGAACTCAGGACCTTGTGCTTGTGAGGCAGGTGTGGCGCTGTTGAGCTAAATCCCCGGCCTAGCAATATGGCCATTTTAACAATATTATTTCTGATGATCCATAGGCAAGGGAGGTCTGTCTACTTTCTAATGTCTTCTTCAATTTTTTTTTCAGTGTTCTATAATTTTCATTTTAGAGGTCTTTCACTTCTTTGGTTAGGTTGATTCCTGGGCTTTTTAAATTTTTGTTTTTTTAAGCTATTGTGAATGGGTTTGTTTTCCTGCTTTCTTTCTCAGTGGGTTCATTGTTGGTGTATAGGAAAGCTATTGATTTTTGCAGACATTTTTTTTGGTACTGGGGATTGCACTCAGGACCTTGCAGTTTTGAGGCAGGCAGCAGAACCACTGAGCTAAATTCCCGGCCCTAGCTACTGATTTTTGTATGTTGATTTTGTATCTTATTGTACATCCTGTCATGTACTTATTGGTTATTTGTATATCTTTTTTTTGTATCAGGGATCGAACTCAGGACCTTGTGCTTTCAAGGCAGGCGGCAGATTCGTTTATCTTATTTGGGAAAATGTCTGTTTAACTATTTTGCCCATTTTAATGTGTGTGTGTGTGTGTGTGTGTGTGTGTGTGTGTTTATATTTGTACATCAGCTCCAGCAGCTGTGGGATTCAGGGATGTTAGGTGTAGAGTTTGTGCATGTCATGTATGTGGGTCATGGATATCAGGTTTGCAACTGGGGATGTTTCTCCCAGTCTGTGGGTTGCTGTATTATTCAGCTTTCCTATTGCTGGACACTATCCCCAACATGCATGACTTAAAGGAGAAGAGGTATATTTTGGTTCACAGTTTCAGGGAATTCAGTCCCTGGTCTGCTGGCTCCAAGGCATGGTAGGGGAGTCAGGTAGAGGAAACCTGCTCATGTCATGGTGCCCGGGAAGCAGAGAGAAAAGGTACCAGGGACAAGAAACCACCTTTCTAGGTCCCACCCCCAGTGATCCACCTGCTCAGACCAGGCCCTAATTCCTAATGGCATAGCAGCTATGCACTCACCTTCTGAGAGCCCTGGCCTGTATGGAGGACTTTTGGGTGACATTTGAAAATCTAAACCATAACAGTTGCCTTTGATAGTGTTTTTCTTTATTTACAGATTTAAGAAAATTTATGCGGTCCTGTTTTTTCTCTTGTTGACTGTGTCTTTGGTGTCATGTCCAAGAAAGAAATCCCAAAGCCAATGTCATGAAGTATCCCTGTTTCATCTAAGAGTTTTATAGCTTCTAAGAGTCTTTGAGTCTTGATTCCAGTTCTTGGTTCATTTCCAATTAAGTATTTTAAAAATAAATTTTATTTTATCCCCCCCCCTTATGCCCCCTCCCCTCCCTATGTACAAAAGCTTTGTTTCCATTTTTTCCTTCTATTTTCACTTTTTTTCTTGTTCCTTCCTTCCTTTTCCAGTTAACTTGTGTGTATGGTGTGAAGTAAGGGCCCAAACATAATTCCTTTTCATGTAGACATCTAGTTTCCAATACCATTTGGTGAAAAGTCTATCTTTCCCCAGTTGAATAGTTCGAACACTCTTTCATAAAAAATAATTTGGGCTGGGGATTTAGCTCAGTGGTTCCGCCACCTGCTTTGCAGTTACCAAAAAACCCAAATTTGACCATATATGTATTTATTTCTGAGCTTGTATTTCTGTTCCATTGATCTACATGTCCTGCTGATACCACACTGTTTTGATTACTGTAGTAATTTTATGACAAGTTTTCAAATCAGATAATGTGAGTTTTCCAGCTTTGCTTTCTTTGTCAAGATTTTGATTTTATTTTTAAATTTTAAATTAAAAAAATTTTTTTTTGGTACCGGGGATTGAACTCGGGTCCTTCTGCTTGCGCAGCAGGCGCCAAAACCACTGAGCTAAATCCCCAGCCCTTCCAAGATTTTTATTTTTGAGGCAGGGTCTCATTATGTGGTTCAGGCTGGGCTTGAACTCACTATGTAGCCTGGGTTGGCCTTGAACTTGGGATCCTTCTGCATTAGCCTCCTTTGTGCTGCTGAGACTACAGGCATGTGACACCATTGATTTTGGCTATTCGGTTCCCTTGAAACTCCATATGAATTTTTTTCTTTGTGGTACTGAGGATTGAACCAGGGGCCTGTGTATGCTGGGTAAGCATTCCACCCCTGAGCCACACCCCAGCACCCCCTTTTTAAACTTTGCTACAGGATCTCACTAAGTTGTCCACACTGGCCTTGAGGTTGCTATTTGCCTGCTTCAGCCTCCTGAGTAGCTGGGAGTATAGGCATGCACCACTACACCAGATTCTTATGGGCAGATTTTTCTATTTTTTTTTTTTTTTTTGGTACCGGGGATCGAACTCAGGTCCTTACGCAGCAGGTGACAAAACCACTGAGCTAAATCCCCGGCCCAGATTTTTCTATTTTTTAAAAAAATTGGTATGGGATTTGGACAGGGATTGCACTGACTCTGTAGGTTGCTTTGTTTTGGGAGAATCAGTGTCTGACTATGAGCTGGCATAAGCCTCCTGAGACGCCCTGTTTCTCCCCCTTCCCAGGACTCCTACCTGCTCGACTACTTCCTTTTTCTGAACCGCTACTTTGAGGTGGGGCCCCCAGTGTACTTTGTCACCACCTCAGGCTACAACTTCTCCAGCGAGGCTGGCATGAATGGCATCTGCTCCAGCGCAGGCTGTGACCCCTTCTCTATGACCCAGAAGATCCAGTATGCCACCAGGTTCCCTGACCAGTAAGTGCCTGGTCCCTCGGCCCCAGCCTGTGCTTGTCTGTGTCCTGCCCTCCCACTGGCCCCTCTTCCTGCTGCCTCTGCCCCTGCCTGGTTAAGCCCCAATGGCACCTGCGCTGTCCGTGGCCCTGGCCCTCACCTCCTCTGCTGGCCCCAGGTCCTACCTGGCCATCCCTGCTTCCTCCTGGGTGGACGATTTCATCGATTGGCTGACCCCATCCTCCTGCTGCCGCCTTTATACCTCGGGTCCCCATAAGGATGAGTTCTGTCCCTCAACGGAGAGTAAGTGTGGGGCCTTGGGGACTCATTGCCAACTGCAGCTTGGGGAAACTGCGGCAAGAGAGAGGAAAGGGCTGGCAAGGCTCTCTCAACCTCCCACCCCATGGGGGGGGCAGTGAGGGCAGGGGCCCGGGCTGGGCCTCTGGGTAGGAACCTGGGCATCCATACTCTTGCGCTCCCTGGGGCGTGGTGCTCATGATTTTGGGGCATGTGAACTGAGGTTGGTGCCCAGCTGCAGGGGGAGCTACTGTGAGGTAGAGGGCAAGCTGGGGCTTCCTGATCCAAACTTGCCTTCCCCAAATGGCTGTCAGCACCAGGTCCCCCAGTCAGAGACGCAGGATGAAAATCCCCAGGAGTGGGGACCCTGTGATGGGTGCGGAGTTAGAAGGGGCTCAGAGCAGGAGCTGCCACCCCCAGGGGCTGCTGCCTAGAACCCACCTCTCTCTGCAGGTGCCTTTCGGTGCTTAAAGAACTGCATGAGCTTCACAACTGGCCCTTTACGGCCCACGGTGGAGGAATTCCACAAGTATCTTCCCATTTTCCTGACTGATCTGCCCAATATCAACTGCCCCAAAGGGTAGGCTCGGGGAGAGGGTCCACAGAGGGGTGAGGAGGTCCAGGAGGGGGCTCTCCGGGGTGCAGTGGGGGGACATGGGAGGAGGTCTGGCCCCACTAAGTCGTGCTCTGCCCCCCTGCAGTGGCATGGCAGCCTATGGGACCTCCGTGAACCTGAGCGCAGATGGACAGGTTATAGGTAAGCAAGGTGGGGGAAGGACCCAGGTCGCAGCTCCAGACATCACCAGGAACTCCAGGGAGCAGCCTGTCTCCACTTTGCATCTTCTCTCCTCCGCCCTCTGTGGGGGCTTCCAATCGCACTGGGCTTGTCAGCAAGGGCCTGGCTTCCCAAACCACGTCTTCAGACTGTGCCCTTTCTCCACTCAGTCCACGGTCAGAGTGACATTTGTGGCACTCCCAGCAGTTGATGTCATACTCAGGATCACACATCACCCCAGCCCTGGGCTAAGTACCTTTTCATGCATGCATAGTGTTTTTGTTGTTGTTCTTGTGATCTTGGGGATTGAATCCAGGGCCTTTGCACTGAGCTACACTCCAGTCCTTTTTAAAATTTGTATTTTTAGATAGGATCTTGCTAAATTGCTAAGTAACCTAGGTTGGGCTGGAACTTGTGATCCTCCTGCCTCAGCCTCCCAGAATGCTGAGATAATAGGCATGCACCACCATGCTGTGAGTGCTAGGTTGTTGGCTAAATGAATTAGGATGCCCCAGAGTGGCAGAACCCCAGCAGCCACCAGCAGTAAGGAGGGAGATGGAGTCAGACTGAGAGAGAGCAGGACCGTGACATATTGTCAGTCTCCTGCAGCAGGTGGCAGAACCAGATGGCCATCTGCAGGAGGGAGCCAGCTACGGCTCAGCGTGGGGACCCTGGGTCAGCTGGCCCAGAGGTGGCCTGAGGGCCAGAGACAGTTAGGGTAACTTTTGATAGATTTCCTCATTTCATTCTGAAACAGTCACAGTTTGAATTACTAGCTGCAGACCATTCTTACTGCCAGGAGTCCTAAGCCACAGCTCTGACAGCTGAACAGTTTTCATTTTTCTGTCTTCCCTTCTAGTCTTTTCTTGTAGGAACATGCAAATTTGAAAAGTGAATTAAGTTAATTTAAACCATCCTGTGCATCTTGTTTTGTTTGTTTAGTTTTTTGAGACAGGGTCTTGCTATGTAGTCCAAGTTGGCCTTGAATTCCCTAGGTAGCCTAGGCTGTCCTCGAACACACAGCTATCCTCCTGCTTCAGCCTCCCCAGTGCTGGGTTTACATGAGTGTGCCACCACACCTGGCTTCCCCTGCATATTTTGAAACCAGGTGGAGAAGGCTTTGGGAGCACCAGGGAACTTTCTTGTGGGTCCATCTTCCAACATTGGGCCGGGAGTCTCTGTGACTACAGAGTTCTCAGAGCTGTGGCAAAACAAAAACGCAGGCCCCTTGCACAAAATATACTTGGCATCTGAAATGGTGGTGGCAGCACCCCGAGCTCAGCCTGATTCCACGCCCAAGCCCCTGCCACTGGTATGCTCTGAGGGTGTCCCCAGCAGGCTCTGACCCTCGACCTCCTCTCTCTCATGTGCCACCCAGCCTCCCAGTTCATGGCCTACCACAAGCCCCTGAAGAACTCGCAGGACTTCACAGAGGCCCTGCTGGCCATGCGCGTGCTGGCGAACAACATCACAGCTGAGCTTCGGAAGGTGCCGGGGACAGACCCGGCCTTCAAGGTCTTCCCCTACACGTGAGGGTCTGGGGGCTGCATCAGAGGGTGGTGGGAGGTAACTGCTGGGTGGGAGAGGTCAGGGCAGTGGTCTTTCAAGAGGTTCCAAGGGACAGGGACAGCTGCAGATCAGGAGGCTCCAGTGGTGGCCTGGTGTCTGTCTGTCTCTAGGGTGCCCGGCACCCCAAATAAGCCTCGCTGAGCCTCAGTCTCCTCTTCTGAAATGGGGCATCCAGTTCACCTGAAGGGCTCCTCAGCCCGTGCATGACCACACTCTCTTCGGGCAGGTTAACCAACGTGTTCTACCAGCAGTACCTGACTGTGCTGCCCGAGGGCGTCTTCACGCTGGCACTCTGCTTCCTGCCCACCTTCGTGGTCTGCTACTTCCTGCTGGGCCTGGACATCCGCTCTGGCCTCCTCAACCTTCTCGTCATCATCATGATCCTCGTGGACACCATCGGCCTCATGGCCATGTGGGGCATCAGTTACAATGCTGTGTCCCTCATCAACCTGGTAGCGGTAATGGCAGGACACAGGCACTAGGGGGCTCTGGGGAGAGGGACAGTTGGGGATCCAGCTGCCGAGCCACGCCTGGCTCTGCCCAGAATCTGGACAGCTCCTCCATGTCTCCTCCCGCCTCTGCCTCCCCTGAATCCGGCCTCTGCCCGCAGGCGGTGGGCATGTCTGTGGAGTTCGTGTCCCACATCACCCGCTCCTTTGCCATCAGCACCAAGCCCAGCCGCCTGGAGAGGGCCAGGGAGGCCACCATCTCCATGGGCAGTGCGGTGAGTGGTGGAGCCTGGGCTGCCCATCCCCACCCTGATACCCTGTGACCACCTGACGGCTGGCTGTCACCCTCCAGGTATTCGCTGGGGTGGCCATGACCAACCTGCCGGGCATCCTCGTCCTGGGCCTGGCCCAGGCCCAGCTCATCCAGATCTTCTTCTTCCGCCTCAACTTCCTAATCACCATGGTGGGTCTGGTGCATGGCCTGATCTTCCTGCCTGTCATCCTCAGCTACCTGGGTGAGTGCCGACCACTCCTGCCAGGCTGCTGGGGACAACTGCAGCAGCACGTGCTCCCCAGGAAAGTCAGGGCCATGCACTCACACCACCAAGGCTGGGCCACACTTCCTGCCTGGGAAAGCTGCTCTTCTTCACTTCATATGTTGTGAACACCTTTGTCACCAGCTTTGTGTCTCAGACACTGATTCAGAGGCCACTGTGCTGCTGTTGAACTTTTTTTTTAAGATATAGTTTCGCTATGTAGTTCAGAGTGACCTCTGTATGTAGCCCAGACTGGCCCCCAGCTTATGGCAATCCTCCTGCCTCAGCCTCGGGAATGCTGGGATCACAGGTGCATGCCACCATGCCCAGCTAGACATACATATCTAAGACAAAATGTTTCACAAAATGTGGTTGATCCTTGTCCTTACTTCCTATGAAGCATGCTGATATCGTTGGTTCTAGTCTATTGCTAATTAAAAAAATGCTGGTGTTAGCCTACTAAATTGGTTTTATGACTCATCAATGAGTGGCAAGTTAGAGTTGAAATACACTATCCTATCATACGGTTCTGCCATAATTTATTTAAGGAGCTTCCAACTGTTTTAGACTATTTCTGACTTTCCATTATTATTGCCAGGACTGAAGTGAGTGAGCTTGTGGCTGAATCTTTGACTGCATCTCTAATATTTCCTTTGACTAAGCCAGTCAGTGTCGATTGTTAATGCCAGTTGTTAATACCCTCCACTTTAACTTGTGTCAGCAGGCAGGCGCGGTGGTGCACACCTGTTATCCTGGCATTCTGGGAGGCTGAGGCGGGAGAATTGCAAGTTCAAGCTGAGCCTGAGAATTAAGCAATTTAGTGATAACTTGTCTCAAAATTAAAAAAAAAAAAGTGGGGCATGGTGGCACAGGCCTACAATTCCAGCCCTTGGAAGGCTGAGGCAGGAGGATTGCCATGAGTTCAAGGTCAGCCTGAGCTCCACAGTGAGTAAAAGAGAACTTGTACTCACTATGTACAAATCTTGCTATGTAGTTAAATACATAGCGAGATTGTCTCCAGAAAACAACCAAAAACAAGGGGGAGGGCTGGGGATGTAGCTCAGTGCAGGGTCCTAGGTTCCATCAGAGGAAGGAAGGTGGAGGAAGGTGGCTGCAGGTGTCAGTGTGGTGTCCAGAAGAAGCCACAGCCTGGTCTGAGGCTTCCAGAGTCCATTTCCAGTGCAATGACTGCAGGAGGTGCAGATGGGGGTGGGGCTCTGCCGGCTCGGTGCTGTGCCCCTGTGCGCCCCCCTGACTTGGGCCTCCCTCCTGTCTCTTTGCAGGACCTGATGTCAACCCTGCTCTGGTGCTGGAGCAAGAGCGAGTGCAGGGAGCGGCAACAGCCCCGAAGGCCTCCTGCCCCAAGTAGCCCCTTCCTCTCAGTGCCACCACCGCCTACACCTATGTCAACCATGGCTTCAGTGGCCCGACCATGGCAGCTGGGGCCTACAGCAGCCCTGTGCCCAGGAGTGGGTGGGAGCACCTGGCACCGTGGCTCTGACGGAGGGCCACCAGGGTCTCCCCTGGGCTCAGCCCTTTGCCCACCCCTCCTCAGGGCTCAGGAGACACTGTTCCAGGAAGGTGGCTATTGCTCTGGCCATGAGCTGTCCAGCAGCACCATGATGGCTCCTTTGTGTCCTTCAGGCCTTGGCCAGCTGAGATGGCCTTTTCCTTCTGGACCCAAGTCTCGGAGCCTCTGGGCAGATATACTCCATGTTTATCCTGGGCTTGGACTTTCTCACGGATGCCCGCTTCTCACCCAGTTCTTGCTTCTTTCAAGTCTCCCGTCAAAAAAATCTCCTTTCTTGAACCAGACGTGGTGGTAGATCCCTGTATCCCAGCACTCAAGAGGCTGAGGCAGGAGGATCACCACCACGAATTCCAGGCCAGTCTGGATGACCTGAGAGCTTATCTCAACAAAACAACAACAACAAAGTCTTCATTTTCTGCCACTCACCAGTGTGCCCAACCACAGAGTGACCTTATCCTGGGCTGCAGGAGACCAGGGAGAGGCAAAGGGGTCCCTGCAGATCCACCACCCAGGGTTCTTTCTGGGAGGGAAGGGCTCGATCACTGGTTCACTCCATGTGGAAAATGGAATTTGGTTTGGGCGCTAGTTCCAGCCACCGGTAAGGCTGTGCTGAAAGTCATGGCCACTGTGTGTCTGAAGGCTGGGAGTTTTGGAGGCTGGGCAGGTCCTCCTACTTCAGAGGTCCTCCTTCACCTCAAGCCACCCGACTTGGGCCCCTATGCAGAACTTCTGGGCATTACTGGTTGTGTGTGTTGGCATTTGGCTGTAATCCCAGCACTCAGTAGGCTGAGGCAGGAGGATCGCTGTGAGTTCAAGGCCAGCCTTGGCTACACAGTGAGTTGAAGGCCAGTCTGAACTGCACACCGAGACCCTGTCTCAAGAAAGAAAAACAAAGCAAAACAAAGAAATACACATAAAAAACAAAACCTTGGAGCAACTCGGTCTGTGCAAAGTACATGATGCTTAATAAACATTTCACATGCAGAGATGGTGTTCGGTGCTACATGTCTTACTCTGGCTGCCTCTGGACTTAAGGTAATTGTTTTGTTTTGTTTTTTTGGTACCAGAGATCAAACACGGGTCCTTGTGCTTTCGAGGCAGGCAGTGGAACCACTGAGCTAAATCCCTGGCCCGGGTAATTTTTGTAAATGATGCAAATAATACTTGTGTGGAGCAGCGATTTGTGAAGATGTGTGTGTGTGTGTGTGTGTGTGTGTGCGCGTGTGTGCGCACATGTGCTATTTCCCCTCTCTCTGCAACATGGCCAGGCCATGGCATGCCCCTGCTTTGTGGCCTGTGATGAGCGGGTCACTGCCTCTCTGCTCCGTGGCAGAGTGTGGGAGTCAGTTGGGGGTGCACAGCTTCTCCATTCCTAGCATAGCCTGTGAAGTGGCGGGCACCTGCCTGCTAGAGAGCCCAGGGGTGCACTGAGGCACGAGGAACCCCCTATGCAAATGACCACCATGCTTGGCTTTTCCTCTTTTTCTTTTTGAGATAGGGTCTTTCTTTGTAGCCAAGGCTGGCCTGAACTGTGGAGCCATAGGCTGGGCTGGAATTTGCTATACTGTCTCAGTCTCCTGGGTTCTGGGATTATGGGCCTGGCTCTCTCACGACACTTTTTTTTTGCCCCCCCCCCCCCCCCC